GGTCGGGGAGGCTGGAGGTGCCGTTGCCGAGCCCTGTCCCGCCGCCCGCAGAGGCGCAGAAGCTGTCCAGCCTGGTGCTGCCGTCGGAAGTGATCATCGCCCAGAGCTCCATCCCCGGCGAAGGGCTTGGCATCTTCTCCAAGACCTGGATCAAGGCCGGCACCGAGATGGGACCGTTCACGGGCAGGGTCATCTCGCCGGAGCATGTGGACCTGTGCAAGAACAACAACCTTATGTGGGAGGTAACGACCCCCCCGCCCCAGCACCCCCAGCTGGCCCGGGGAGATGCCAGGACCAGAGGGCTTTGTCCTGTGCTCATGTGCCGTCAGGCGCCCTCTCTGTGCCTCAGTTTCCCCTTTCATGCAAAGGTTTCTCCAGCCCTCGGGGTGCAGCCAGCTCTCAGAAAGCCCCGAAACGCTGTAGTTAGTGTCCCACACAGCAGGATCGCACCCTGCCCTTCCCAGCTCTGCCCCGTGTCCCCCACTTTGTTCCAGCCCCAGTGCAGTTAAACCCGAGCAAAGACGTGGGGTTTGGTGGGTTCTGATCTGCCAGGACACCACACTCTAATGCCCAGCTAGTAGAGGGTTTTTTTCCTATTTTTTTTTTGTTTCAGTCAGGCTTGCACTTTATTATTATTATTATCAATAATAAAATTTATATTTAGGAGGATGATGATGATGTTATGCCTAATATGTTATGCCTCACCTTTCCTGCCACCCAAAAGTGTTTTCCTCCAAGGACCAGATCTGACAGGCGTCTTCCTCCCCCAGCCAGGGCCACCCCGCTCCTGTGGCAGGTGCCGAGCACCCCTTTTAAGGGGGTTCCTGCCCTGAGAAGGGGCACTGAGGCAGGGAGCTGCATTATCTGGGTGGGCATGGGCTGGTGGGGCCCATGAGCAGGGTGCCCTTCCTCAGCACCGCTGTGGATGCGCACTCACCACGAGCTGGGTTCAAGCATCTCCTGAGTGCGGATGAGATGCTGGCAGGGTCTCAGCCCCAAGGCTGCGTTGGCTTTGAGTGTGTTCTCAATGGGGATCTTTATCCCAAGGCAGGAGGTGGAGAGGCTCGGTCCATCTGGGCAGCATTGCTACCAACCGCACTCTTGCCCTCCCAGGTCTTTAACGAGGATGGGACGGTGAGGTACTTCATTGATGCCAGCCAGGAGGACCACCGCAGCTGGATGACCTACATCAAATGTGCGCGGAACGAGCAGGAGCAGAACCTGGAGGTGGTGCAAATCGGGAACAGCATCTTCTACAAAGCCATTGAGGTATGTGGGGCCGGGAGGGCAGCAGGGTGCTGGGACCCCCACCCAAAGCCCTTCTCTTGTTCTTTGGGGTGTTGCTGGGGTGTCTGTGGGAGAGCACAGGGGGGTTTTGTTGTCCCCGGCACAGGTAGGCACTGTGGAGAATGGCCATTGCACGGGCTTCAGGGAGCAGCAAAGGGCCCTTCTGCTCTTTTTCCCCTTCTGGTGGGCTCATGGTGACATGTGGTGAGCAGAGGGACAGCAAACTTTGCCCAAGGTTGTTTTGGGGTGTAAAGCATGAAAAGAGCTGCAGTCATGGCCCAGCCAGGCTTTGGGCAGGAGCAGGGTTTTGATGCTGTCTCAAAAAACAGGATTTTGTGCACAACCTGCTTCTCTGTAGCAGGGGAAAAATTGCAGTTTTTTTTTGTGAAACCCAGGTTTTGAGTGCAGGCTGTGCCTGACTCTGCACTGCTTTTGCTCGGGGTCACAAGTGGCTCTGGCTGTAAGTGGAGCATGAGAGGATTGGAGCCGCAGGAGCCACAGAGCGGGCAGGGTGCGGCTCTGCTGCAGGGAAGGGACTCATCCTGCCTGGCTCATCCATGTGCTCCTGTACTAAGCACTGATGGGTGCTGGCTTGGCAGGAGAGCCAGGGCAGATGCTTGGTCCCTTGACACAGGGTGCCGTGGTGTGAAGGCTGGCGGTACCCTCATCCCACAGCTCCCAGCGGGAGACGCTGGGTGGGAGGTTGGTGCCCAGCTCCTCTCCAGTATTGAGTCCAGAGCCTCGTAGGCTCCTGTGACTGCTCACATCTTGGAGAGACTGAGCTGGGAAGGAGCACAAGTGCCTGCTGATGTGGGGGACAAGGGCAGCTCCCCGGACCTACTCTGGCTCTCACCAGTGCTTACAGAGGAGCAGATGCTCAAATGCTCCACAGCACAGGACCACGGCCCAATCCTGCACTGAGTCAGCATCAGGGCTGGGTTGGGAATCACCGCAGTGGGGTGGGAAAGGCGAGTGGGTGGGTAAGAAGAGAACAGGTATTTTCTTCTGCTTCACGGTGTCCCGTGTGCCTCTTGGGGCTCTGCTGCCTCTCCCCATGCAGTGCTGCAAGAGCCCAAAGCCCTTCTGTGCTGCTCTCCCCATCCTGGACACCCAGTTTTAAGACCTGATGTTCTTGTGGGCAGCTGTGCCTGTTGTGACAGCAGCTAAATTGCTTTTTATTACTGCTCTTCAGTTATGCAAAGAAGCAAAATAGCCAGGTAGCCATGGTGTAATTAGGAATACAGCCATGGTGTAATTAGGAACACAGTCGTGTTTTGCACACCTTGTGCATGCACGGATGCTGGGGCAGGTGAGCCGATATTTGGGGAGGTGCATGTAGAGGTCCCATACAGTCATGGTCAATCTGCTGGCTTGCTCCCGGGGCTGAGGCAGCGAGCACCAGAGCAGGATGAGTTTAATTCCTTCAGCACAAGCAGCAAAGTTGAAATGTTGAGAGCGCTGAACCCCGAGTGATGGGGAGGTGAATGTGGGGGTGAGGGGTCCCTGCTGTCACTGCGCTGTGCTCCCCCGGCACTGCAGGCACCCTGCAGTGCTTCTGCTCCTGCTGCCACCGGGGCAGCGTGGGTCCCTCTGTGCCAGGGGGAGCAGGAGGGGATGGGGCTTTCAGTACGAAAGTGCAAGGACAAGCGGGTGCACAGGTGGAGGATCTGCATCTTTCACGGGCTCCCAAATCCCACCAGTGCAATCTGCCTGCAGGCACGTGTGCACACACACACGCAGTCCAAAAACGATTGTTCAGACTCCTTGGCATTTGTGCACCCGACAAGAAAAGGACAAGCAAGAGAGGATTTTTCTTTTGTGTTTCTCCCACTGCTCATTAATCGCCTTGCGCAGAGTCAAGGGCGCACAAATGCAGCATCTTGGACCTGAGCGAGCTCCCCGCTTGTTACCCATCGCTGCTGCCTTCTTGCCTCCCTCACCTTAAATCTTGGACCGAGCGCAGCATCAGCCTCCGGCTGGACCATCTCAGCAGCCCGTGTGCCCATGGATGGGTGCTGCCACCCTCCATCCCCTGCAGAGCCCTCTCACCCTGCATCCCCTCCCCACGGGCACCGAGAGCTGCCCCGGCTCTCTGCACCCACCTCTGCTGCACCACAATGCCAGCAAAGATCTCTTAGGATGCCTTTCTCACCACAAAAAAAAATCAGATTTCTCCACAAAATCAAATTTATTGAATGTCTTTTTTACTACTTTGCCTTAAGATTTTCATGTGTTTTGCCCGTTCTTGCCTTCACTTGCTGGTTTGGTTTTTTTCCTCTTCCTCAGCAATTTCAAGTTGCTGCTGCTGGAAAATAAAGTGAGGGCAGTGAGTTTTGGGCTTTGAGCTGAAAGCCACAAGGTTCCTGGGGGGAAACTTAAATTTCTTTGGGACGTATGCACATGGGCGCTCACCCGCTGCTGGTGTATGTGCTCCAGCAGAATATAAACGTGCATGCACACACATGCAATGTGTTTTATCCTTTTGGCAATATTTGATTCTATTTGCTTGTATTAAAATAACTCATTTGCTGTTAAGAGAAAATGACACCAAGAAACAGCACAAATTTGGGATGCAAAATGATATCATCTGCTGCTGCTTCCCAGATTTGTACTCTGCAGCCCAGTGAGGTCTTTATGCAGGTGGTCACTTAAACATATGAAGCCAAATTCCCAATGCTTTCGGTTGCTTAAAATTAGGCACACTTTCAGTGCTGGGGTGATCTAATTTGTGATCTATGTTTCATGTGGATGATGCTTTTCTCGGATTACTCTGTGTATGGAAAGGCATCCTCTGAAACGAGGGATTTTTCCCGTTTCTAAATTAGGTTCTTAACATCAGGGACCTGCAAAAGAAAAATCTGCATTATTTTTTTTATAAAGCGTTGTCGTTATTAGTGCTGTGCAAACTGGTGTGAGAGCATCTGTCTGCCCAGCCACGGCTGCTTCGTGCAGGGAGACTCCAGTGATGTTTCCTGGCTGCTCGCTCTGGCCATCCCGGCAGCGCAGGAAAATAACGGGAACAGCAGGGGAAGGCGAAGTGCCCCCATTTCAGGGAAATGGGTGGTGCAAAGCCATTCCCTGCCCCTGTGGAGCTCCTTGGGCTGTTGCAGGCACTGCGGCTTTGGTGTGGGACGTAGGCAGCACCTCACACCTGAGCCACGCTCTCCTGTACCCGAGCTCTCCTCCGATCCCTGGGCACATTTGCAACCCCACCTGCTAAAATAAGGCTCAGTGGGAGATGCTGCCTGTGCCCTACAGCTGGAAGGTGCCGATAGCTCTGTCCAGAGCCAAAATGCTGATCCAGGGCTCTGTGTCCTGGCTCCCTGCTTTGGTCTCTTGTCACTTGTGCCTCGCTGCCATTCACGGGTTCACAAAGGGCTTGGTTTATTGTGTGCCACCGTGTCCTTGTCTCCCCAAGCTGCAGGGACCTGTGTGTCCTTCACTCCAGAGACCCCAGCTCCACCTGCGTGCTCTGTACCTGCTTGTTTGCCCATCATGTCGTTTGTGGTCCAGCCTGACAGCCCTGTCTGTATTTCTCTTTCTAGATGATTCCTCCAGACCAAGAGCTGCTGGTCTGGTACGGGAACTCCCATAACACGTTCCTGGGCATCCCGGGTGTGCCGGGGCTGGAAGAGGAGCAGAAAAAGAACAAACATGGTAGGTAACATCGGAAACAGCCGTGGCTGCAGCATCCCTGCCCGTTCTCTGCTCACTCTGTCCCCAGCTCTGAGGCCATGGCGTGGGCACAGGGCAGGGACATCTCAGGGATATGTCAGACCCCCCAACTCTCTGGTGACAAACACAGAGACTATGAGACAGGTCTGTACAGCTTGAGCAGGTCCCTAAAAATTCGGGGGGTCATCTCCAGGCCCATTTGCCCATGGCTATTGCTGGTGTGGCGGCCAGCAACTGCTGCCCGACTCAGCTGGGCAGGGAGGAGCAGGAGGAAGGCAGCCCCAGCATGAAATGCCAAGTGGATGCAGCTGCCGATGTCCCCACTGCACATTTAACAGATCTTTCCCCAAATTGCCATCGCAGGAGGCTTTTTCCTCCCCAGGCTTTTGCTCTCTGCTTGTCTCTTGAGGCGGTCCTTGGCAGCAGTGCTCTCAGGCATTTTTGGGGGATGCTGTGTTCAGAGCCAGACCCCATCTGTGCTCCTCAGCCCTTCTCCCCACTCCAAGAGAGCCAGGTCAGAGCCCAGCAGAGCAGGAGGAGACACTGGGATTGGTGCAGGGATGGCGTTGCTGCTGCTGGAGGCCAGGGAAGGGAAAAGCGCTTTTTGTGCCCATCTATAGGGTAGACACATTGGCTTGAGTGTTCCCCCTCACCTAAATTTGGGTGAGCCTGTTCCCAGCTCTGGATGCATCCCCAATGCCCAAAGTGCCAGCAGCTCCGTGGGGTGGTTATTTAGTGCTCTTTAGTTTGAATGACTCTTTAGTGTTATTTAATGCTCGGGGAAGGGGTGAGCTGCTATGGTGGGGGGCAGCACCTGACCGTCCCCTGTTGTCCCCAGAGGATTTCCACACGGTGGAGACGGGGGCCAGCACGACGGGACGCATGCGCTGCGTCATCTGCCACCGCGGGCTCAACTCCC